CAGGCTGCAGACTCAGTCTTAGTTCTCATGTTACATTACATAAAACAAATTGGAACAAGATAGCACTGGTATTAGACTAAGAATGTGTATTGGCAAATACCCTGACTTGGGGTATTGGAATCAGTATCAGGAGAGAAAAAGATAGCATAGATACTTCTAGAGGAACATAATTGTACAAGTTGTAAACTGTATCCGCTTACCACATTCAGATTTAATGTATTTTTTAACGTGTGTATGTCACAGCTACAGAAAGTGTTACGTCTGCGGGGAAAGGCAGTGGATGAGGACCATAAGGACAGTGGGGAGGAACAGAGGGATGAGGATGAGGGTCTTGGTCCCCGATCCAATGTCAGTCTCCTCGACCAGCATCAGCACCTCAAGGAAAAAGCAGAAGGTATCCAGTTCAAACCCGAGCCACTCTGGACTACGACTGCTGCCTGTTTTTAATTCTTTTCAAATTACAACCTCCTGAGCTATCTCACTTGTTTTATATTTTTATATCTTCAGCCCGGAAAGAGTCTGCCAAGGAGAAGCAGCTGAAAGAGGAAGAGAAGATTCTTGAGAGCGTTGCAGAGGGCAGAGGTAAAATTATAATGCTGTCATGTTCCTGTAAATCAAGTTTAATTCTTAATCAAATTTACTTAATTTACTTATAAATGTTAACATTGTTCTCTCCCTCCTCCATCAGCTCTGATGTCTGTGAAGGAAATGGCCAAAGGTATCATATATGATGATCCCATAAAAACAAGGTAAGTTCTTGATCAGTTCCATAAAGTAACATTGTTTGTCGAGATTTTCAAACTTTTCATTAAACCTGAATGGTCTTCATAGCTGGAAGGCACCACGCTACATCCTGAATATGCCAGACACGCGACACGAGCGCGTCAGGAAGAAGTTTCACATCCTGGTTGATGGAGATGGCATCCCTCCTCCAATCAAAAGCTTCAGGGAGATGAAGTTACCACCAGGTTACAACGCCCTCCTTCTCCCACACATGAAAAACACATCTTCTGTCGGTGCGAGGCCTTAAGTGATACAAGGTGATTAACACATTTGATTATTGTTTTTGCAGCAATTCTAAAAGGTTTGAAAAAGAAGGGCATTGTGCATCCAACACCAATTCAAATTCAAGGAATCCCTACAGTGTAAGTACAGTACAGTAAATGGACACGTACTATACAAACAGGCTGTAAAATATGTAATCTACAGTATGTTAAGTACATGTAAACTGTTCATGAGTTGATGGTGTTTGTCTGTAGCCTGTCAGGTCGGGACATGATTGGAATAGCCTTCACCGGTTCCGGAAAGACTTTGGTCTTCACTCTGCCCATCATCATGTTTTCCCTGGAGCAGGAGAAAAGGCTGCCTTTCTTTAAGAGAGAGGGACCGTATGGACTCATCATCTGTCCTTCAGTAAGACATACAAGACATACCTATTGAATTGATGACACAGCCTGGAATATGGTTTAAAGTCTGTTTTTTACGGTGTTAGAATTCTAATAGATGTCTTTTGGATAAAATTAATATTCTTAAATTTGCACATACTGCAAGTCCCAGTTTTAAAACTCTGTGTGACCATCAAAGACACAAATAATTGTACAGCATTTCTTACTGTTTGCACTTTCGACAGCTGGCAATTACTGCCAGCAACCTTGCTTTTTCTGCAAGTAAGCATATCTGATTTTAATACCTCTCCCTTTACTCCAGCGAGAGTTGGCGAGGCAGACTCACGGCATCATCGAGTACTACTGCAAGCTGCTGGAGGAGGAGGGAGCTCCTCAGCTGCGCACTGCCCTGTGCATCGGAGGAATGTCTGTCAAGGAGCAGATGGAGGTAGTAAAACAGTAAGTAAGAGTGAAGACGATTCAGTTTGAGCGAGTGTCAAACAAAAAAAATGCACGATTCAGCTGCATTAAATCATCCAAATAGGAAGAGAATAGGCAAAAGTTCTGTGACATAATGCATTACAGACAGCATGCATAGTACAAAACATTCAACATAACCACCTCAGGACTTAAGCATTAATAATGTATTTTAAAACAATACAAGTAAATAGTTTTTTTGGGTTCATTTCCCATCTGAATCTGTATGTCCTCTTGGTTATAGTGGCGTCCACATGATGGTCGCTACCCCAGGCAGACTGATGGACTTGCTGCAGAAGAAGATGGTGAGTCTGGACATCTGCCGCTACTTGGCTCTGGATGAGGCTGATAGGATGATTGACATGGGCTTTGAGGAAGACATCAGAACCATCTTCTCCTATTTCAAGGTGAGGTCCTCCTCTGCGGCAGAGACCGCCAAATGACAGCTACGTATAATCAATGGAGTAGATTTTTCCTGGTCCTGGTCACCAAACAAGTCTTTCTACAAAGCTAGTATATTCGTCGTAGACATTTCAAATAGACTGTACGCTAGATGATACACACAGACATGAACTTCCCTTTTTATCTGGTTGAACGTTCAAAGTCACTACTAAATGTGTTGTCATTGGCCCTTTCCCTTTCACACTGCAAAGCTATGTTGTCATTTTTGGAAACTTTTCTATTAAATGTGTCCTTAAAATCTCCTGCTCAGTAAATATAGAGCAAAAATAGGCCATGCTGTTACAGAATAATGTTTCATTATATGTCTGTAGAAGCACTTGGAGTTGTTTTTCACACGTTCCTGATGCTTCAAGAGACAGCATGTTTTGTCATCGTCCAAGCACTCCCCATAGTTGGCCGGTTAGACCATCTGCCAGCTGCTGGGCTCAATCAGCTGAGACTGGATTTATAGTCTCCCAGACTAAAATCTTGTGGTGAAAACTGAGCTTGGGAGATGTAGCCTGGCTTTGTGAGACTACTGTACATTAAGAGTCCTTGTTATTTTTTTTATCCAGGGACAAAGACAAACCCTGCTCTTCAGTGCCACTATGCCCAAGAAGATCCAGAACTTTGCCAAGAGTGCACTGGTCAAACCCATCACTATCAATGTGGGCAGGGCTGGTGCTGCCAGCTTGGATGTCATCCAGGTACGTTCATTTTTCACTAAAAGAAAGGCTTTCTGTCTTAGTCAGGGGAATTTATTACATTCAATTTACAAACCCACTGATGTGAAAAATGATCTAAAGTAAATGATTAATACCTTGTGTGTGTGTGTGTGTGCGTAGGAAGTGGAATACGTCAAAGAGGAGGCCAAGATGGTGTACTTGCTAGAGTGTCTACAGAAAACACCACCTCCAGTCAGTACTTATACATTCTTACATACTTACATCCAGTACATATACCAAAACATCACAACTCAAACATGTCAAATCTTACAAAATATTGTGTGTTCATATTGACAGGTGCTGATATTTGCTGAAAAGAAGGCTGATGTAGATGCCATCCATGAGTATCTGTTGCTGAAAGGAGTCGAGGCGGTGGCCATCCACGGAGGAAAAGGTACACAGAACTCCAATCATTAAAACACATGGCAATCTGTGCATAGTTATAGTGCCAGCATCAAGTTCAGATCGAAACACCTATTGTTATTTGTACACAGCCTTACTCTTCAGCTTTCTTGTAGTTGTTCTTCTTTACCACCAGATGCCACCCTGTGTGCAAATGTCGCCATTTCTCCTTCATAGGTTGCACAACATTTCCAAGGCACTGACAAAAGTTCAGACACTTCTCTCATGTTTCCATTTGTCATTGTGTTGCAAAACGCTGTTTCTGTAATATTTGTTAATTGTTTTTCAGATCAGGAGGAAAGAACAAAAGCCATAGAGGCATTTAAAGAAGGAAAGAAAGATGTCTTAGTTGCCACAGACGTTGCCTCCAAGGGTCTGGATTTCCCAGCTATACAGCATGTAGTGAATTATGACATGCCAGAGGAGATAGAAAATTATGGTAAGAGTATACTGTATATATAGATATAGAGATATTGATCACCACTTCTCCTTAAATTGCTCAACTGTGACTGAAATTTGCTTGTTTCAGTCCATAGAATTGGAAGAACTGGTCGATCAGGCAAGACCGGTATTGCCACTACGTTCATCAATAAAGGCTGTGGTAAGGAAACATACCAATCAAGAGTAGTGATTTTCTAAATATTTGCGATGTATTATAACGAATTATATTAGCTTAATTCAGTATTAAAGGACAATAAGTTAACAGTAAGTCTGTGTGTTTCCTCATAGATGAGTCAGTACTGATGGACCTTAAAGCCCTGCTAGTTGAAGCCAAGCAGAAAGTTCCTCCAGTCCTCCAGGTGCTCCAAACAGGAGACGAGACCATGCTGGACATCGGGGGTGAGTGGTTAACACCAAATCTAGTTCACTTCTCTTTTTCAAGGCCTACATGCACACTTACGGGTTACTCTGTAATAACTTTGTGTTTCCTTTTTAAATGTTCCTCTAACCTAATGTGATTATCTCAGATTCACAGAACCAAGTGTGGACCGTTTGTGAATCCTTTCTAACATACCTGATTCTTGTGTTTTCACAGGAGAGAGGGGCTGTACATTTTGTGGTGGTCTGGGTCATCGTATTACAGACTGTCCGAAGTTGGAGGCCATGCAGACCAAGCAGGTCACCAACATCGGGCGGAAAGACTACCTGGCTCATAGCTCAATGGACTTCTAAATATTTTTCATTTGTTGTTGTCCTTCCGTGCTAAACGGAACTAAGAAACATTTCTGAAGAAATTGTACACATATCTTATCACTGAACTAAGGAAGTGTATTTTTATCATCACCTAAAAAAGTTTGCAGGTCTGTCAGATGAAATGTTTTGGGGTTGTTGTTTTTTTTTTTAACCTGTTTTGCCCACTTCTGTATGTGTAGCCTTTGTAACATACATTTTTGATATTCTAATTGTAAATAAAATGTAATCTGTTATGATATTTTAGGCTCTTCTTTGCAGAGTAAAAAGGTGTGGTTCTAGTTTTGTATGGTGAGGAAGTTGCTGAAATAAACAGAATAATGCATAGGGAAGTTTGACTCTAAAAAAACAGCAACACACAATGTGTGTGCCTTTTCTCTTGCAACAGCTAAGTTGCAGATCAGAGATATCTTGACTTTAAGCCCTGCAAGACGTAGACAACAGCTGCTGGTGACGTAAAGGAAACAATTGTTTTAGTGGCATAGAAAGCCTAATTTTAACCTTTTGGTGTTAGGTATATATTGACAAGGGAGTGACACGTTGCAGTTGAAGTTGACAAGTTGAGTAAGATAGATGAAGCTTACAAGCATGGATGTTATCTTCAAGGAAGGGATGCTGTACCTTCAGGGGGTCAAGTTTGGAAAAGTAAGTAATTCACAAATTTATCATACCTGAAAAAGTGAATATTGTGTCTTTTTGAAGTCAGTATGGAAACTGAACTGCTTGTTCAGTGTTATTCAATGTTATTCAACACCTCTTGTGTAAGTTTTTTTTGCCTCCTCTATTGTCAGATGTTTCTTGAGATATTCACTCTGGTATTGGTTATTTGTAACTACTCCAATACAAATAATAATAACTGGTTACATATTTATTAATCGGTTTTACTAAAGTTGAGTTGCTAGCTTGTATATTTGCTGACTAATACAGTCACTAATTATATTTTGTCTGTACCTATTTTAGTAATAAATCATTTAAGTCATACAAACTTGTTTGTAGTGTTAAAAGTGCATCCAGGAAGCTGTTATGATTAATAAAGATCTTAAAATACCAGTCCTCAGAGTATGTGGAGACCTAATCGTCTTTATGACTGGTTTGTGAAAATACCTTCAATGTGGTTTGCACTGCCCCCTCACAAACTGTAAATTTAGCTGCAGATTGGCAGGGCTATTTTTTCAGCTACTGGGAAAACAAGTGCCTGTCCTCTTGTAAAAATTCAACCAGTTGTAGTATGACGGCAATGCACAGGAAACCATTTAATCCATAGTTTCTGTCAAAAATACAAAACAACTATTAAATAAGAACTAGATTAAGGAGAAATATAAGGGAGAGATAATTTAAAAACTACTGACACCTCACTAGAAAAAGGTAAAAAAAAAAGAAAAGGTAAAGGTAAAAAAAGTGATGCCTCTATTAAAAAAGCCAAACCTAGATGGAAACATCTTTAGTAATTACAGGCCTATATCCATCCTGACCTTTGTGAGCAGAGAATGCTGTGTAATCAACTGAACACCCCTCTAACCCTTACCCTTTTGAGAAGCTCAAATCTGGTACAGAAACAGCTTTAGTCAAAAGAGCAAATGACCGCAGATGTGTCAAACCTCATCCTTTTAGAGCTTAGCTCAGCATTTGACATTACTGATCATACTATTTTAATTTATCGTTGGTCTATCTGGCAGTACTTTAAAGTGCTTTCGATCTTGCATAACTGGTAGAATTTTTTTTTTGTCTGTATGATTATCTGTGAAACATGACTTGCTGTCTTGGTCCCCTGCCATTTTCCTTATGCTTCCATTACGTTACATCCTCAGAGTTCAATACAAATGTCCATAGCTATAGGCCTATCATCTCTGACTGCCTGTCTGGCCTCCCTAGAACAATGGGTGAATGAAAATCTTTTAAAAGTTAAGAAAGATAAAACTGCTAGGACCTAAATGCAAGAGAGAGAGACCTTCTAACAGACTAGGGAACCTGGCCAACCAGACCAAATAGAAATTAAAAGTCGCCTTGTCATTTTGGAAATGTTGCCAAAGTAAGGCCGTTCTGAACAAAGCAGGATGTCAAGAAATTGATACATTCATGCTAGACTTTGAACGAATACTAGGAAAAATGAGCACATTACTGTTTTAGCTACACAGCACTGGCTGCCCATTTCTTTTACAAATGATTTTAAGGTCGTGGAATACCCTGCCCAGTTACATTAGATAAGCAAGCTCTATTGACATTCCTAAAAATCAGCTGAATATAGTTTTTTTTTTAATCTCTTTCTTCTGTTTTACTTTTATTGATGTTTTATTTTATTTTTATAAATGCTTTCTTTTTTTTTAATTTTGTTTTTTAATACCACACTGTAAAGCCCTTTGAGCTGCATTTTGGTGCTATACAAATACAAGTTATTATTATGATGTTACTAATAATACTAATGCTCTCTGTTTTGTCTGTTAACTATACAAAAGTTTGAAACATCCAATCATTTGTTTTTAAAATGTGTCAGCAGTTAGTTTAGCTCAGCTTAGAGCATCATGTGAAGCAGGAATGCAGCGGTTTATTATCTGTGTAACAAGAGAAATAGATACCATGCTTGCTAATGATATAACATAATAACAAAGATCTGAACCACTCAAAAACCAGAGAACTCACTTATTAACAATTTTCCTATTTCCCCTTATGTCATCTACAACAGAGAACATGGCGGAAAATCTGGATGGTGCTTTTTAAACCCAGCTCCACAGGGGTCGGGCGGTTGGAGCTTTTCACTGTACTTGACAACAATGCCGTTACTGACCAGAAGAAGGTCAGTCGGCAGAAAACACCAGAGAGAAAAGTAGTACGTCTAAGTGACTGCCTCAGTGTCACCCCTGCTCCAAAGGAGTCTTGCCCTCCTGGTTGCACAGCCTTTTACTTAAACACCACTCAATGCAAATACACCCTGGCCTCCACAGCAAGCGATGACTGGATAAGTGCCCTCTGTCTTCTAGCCTTCCAGGTATCACACATCTTTCCTCTTGACCAGTGCAACTTTCCCCTTTTCTTTTAGTATCAGGAGTAGTGTTACCATTTGGGAAACCTTACCCACTATCAGATATAGATAGCACAATGAGGAAGTTCTGTTCTGTCACTTCACTTCTCTAATTCTTGTGCTTGCACAAGCTATGTTCTTTCTTGCATCTTACCTCTTTGAAGTCATAAAACAGTGATAAGAGGTTGGTGTACACTGAATGTCATGTTTACCATGCCACTGTGTTTACAGAGGGATCCTGGAGAATCAGACAAAGGGGATTTCGAGAGAGGAAATGGCTTGGCCATGGAGGACAATGACCTTTACTCATCTTGGAAAACTGGTAATGCTTGTCAGTCTGCAGACGACAGCTGATCAGGCTACAAGCAATCAAATCTCACCAAACTATGTTGTAGTGATGCTACAGCGCTCTCATAACAGCAGTTAACCTGTTGAGTACAGTGCTGTCATAACTGATAGACATAATAGCCAAAACAAAACATACAAAAATTAAACCCAGGTTGAAAGAAACTGTAATTATCCTTTAATAAAGCGTGAAAGTAAATTGGCTGTGCAGTAAGGTTTAGATGCCATAGCATGATAAATTAAAAGATATCAGCAGAAACCTTGAATATGTGTCAGCAGTAGCTATAGCCACTAATTTATTCACACATGAATGCCAGAATGTATTAGCGTCAGCAAGTGCTGGCTTTAACAAATGTATTTCTTTTATTCCTGATGGATTACTCTTAAAAATCCTGGCACCCCAGTCACATGAAGGGATTAGTAGAATGCAAGCAATTTTAAATCAGCATTTTCCTGTATGATAATGTATTTGGTGTACATTTATTCCCTATGCAGAGGTATTGCTGCTCAGACCTCATATGGGGAAAAAAAATAACTTTCATCTGTAGTTACTATACTAACCTCAGCCTGCTGTGGCAAATATTTTGCTGTCTTTTCATGTTTAGATCTGAGCGTTCTTCCAAACCAGTACCAAGTGACTGTCCAGAGCACAGAGGCATCCAGGCGGTGCCAGTTGGCTGGGGAGTATCTGGTCTCCCCAGAAAAAGAGGCTGTGATACTGCTGGCCATCAAAACTGGTCACGTCATCTATCGCTGGCCATACAGGCTCTTACGGAAATTTGGACAGGTTGAGGTAAAGTACTTATGAATTCCTCCCAAATTGGAAGGGATACAAAAATGAATCCTCCTAATAACGTGTTACATTTATTCTGTATCAAAGCTGAAGTGTAAAAACAACATGTTGTGGTTTTACGATTTCACCTTTGTACAGAGTAAGTCAGTTTTTACTCAAGAAATCTCTCTCTATATAAAGTATAACTTCTTATGCTAAGGTAACTAGCTGCTGGTAATAGCTTTTATACTTACCATACAGACATTGGTATTGTCTTCTCATCTAATTCTTAGCAATAACGTGAATGTTCATATTTGCCTACATGTCAAACAATTCCTGTAAGATGTGTATCAATGGATGTGATTGCAGGGTGGATTCAGCATTGAAGCAGGCCGTCGCTGTGAGTCAGGAGAAGGAGTGTTCATCTTCCTATCCAGGCATGGTCCCCAGATCTTCCAGGCTATATCAGAGGGGTGCTCTGTGGAAAAGTCCTCTGTCAAGCCACTCAGGGGATCAGTCATTTACCAGTTGCCTGTTACCCTCCCAACCATAACCAACCAGCCCTCTGGCCCTCCTGTCTACAATCCTGCAGATGTTTTAGCTGACTCAGAGGATGATTTTGACCACTACTCTACTATTAATGACCCCTCTATAGTAAAGGTAAAGCGGCAATCTCTTGTCGAACCATTTCCCTCTAACATCAGGGAAGCTGTGGGACAGGAAGATGAGGATGAACGATGTCATTCCCTGGATCCTGTAAACCTGGTTAATCTCATGGATGACAGCATTTATTACAACATAAGGAGAGCCACGCCTCCTATTATCAGAAAAGATCTGTTCAAACCTGAGACAGACAATACAGAGTGCATCTATTCGGATTTGAAAATAGTTACTTCTCCCTTGAATCCCCAGCTGCAGCCCTTCTTGTCCCCCCTCCCTCAGCCTGTTCCCCAGCCTCCTCCCTGCCCGGTTCCCCAGCCTCCTCCCTGCCCGCTTCCCCAATCTGTTCCTTACGTGCCCAAGCCCCGATACCAGCATCAGCCCCCTGCGAATAACTACATCCAGCCAGAGTACAATGCCCAGGCACAGGCAGTGGATGACATGAAAGAGATGGAGGAGGCCATCAGCTCCTCTACCCATGCTACCCCCACAGAGGCCCCTGGCAGTTTTAAACACAGGCTGGCAGAAATCATTTCCAAGGACCTGGCAAAGTTCCAGCCACCTCTTCCCTCCGGAGCGGGCAGTCCCACATTTTCTCAGTAGGCTATTAGTTAACAGACAGACCAGAAGGGGCAATTTTAACCACGATAGACTGTCATAAAGTATAATGAGTTACTTTATGTCTTAGAAATCCTTTCCGCTGGGAACATTAGGAATCAGATTTTGGCTTGCAGATATTTGTATATTTTTCTGCAGTGGTGGAATGTAACTAAATACTGTCACTCAATCTTGAAGTCCTTGTACATTACTTGAGCTTTTTTTTGTAAAACTACCCACACAAGCTATAACATGAATGATGCTTAATGCATCAATAATTATAACACAATATTATTATAAAATTGTCCCTTCTGCATATTGAGTACTTTTAGTAGCCTATTTTAAGTATATTTTGTTGTTAATATATGTTGTTTAAGAAAAAGTATTTCCTCACTGTAATATTGCTAATTTTACCTAAACCTACTACAAGGAACTTTTAACTGGTTATGAGACAGTGTACATTTAATTCTGATGACTCTGTATGAGCTATAAAAAAGAAGACTTGCTGTGTCTGTATTTATTCTTAATGCCTGCCACCAGTTGGGCTTTCCCATTAGCACTTCTGGCCACGCCAAGTCAAACCAGCACATGCTGATTTGCATTTCCATTACCATTACCGGGATGTGCTGTTCCACTCAGAGGCCAGATTAGGTCAGATTCCCCTTGAAAACAATGAAGCAAGGCAGTTGAAACAATACTACTTTTGTCCACAGGGGCCGCCAGAATCAGCAAAAAATTCTAGATCTTTGTTGCTGCTTTGAATTAAAGATCTGAGTTCTTCTTCCAACACTGTCTGTGCTATCTGTATCCTGTTGTATGTATGTATCTGGAATACATTTTATTCTGTGGATTGTTTTGGCAAAAAGAAGATTCAATTAATGTTGTTCTTCACTTCTGGAATGTTATTGCTATTTGTGCTGCAGTTTAATGTGACATTGCTATTAGTTGATAAGCTGAATGAACACCTGACTGTTTCACTATTTCATAATGGCAATAGCTTTGAAAAAAAAGTTTCCTTGTTACATTCAGTTTATTCTTTGGAATTAGTTTCTTGTTTGTGTATTTTGCTTATAAATTCCCTTTCTTAAAGAGAATGAAGAGGGTTTTGTTACATATAAATCAAGAGTTTTGCAGGAATATGGAAAGACGACTAACCCAAGTTGTGTTTTGGTGTGAATACTGTATTTTGGACATTGAGCTTCAGTCTGCTTCACATCAGAAATATTGAAATGTAACTTACTTAGTATATGGCAATTAAAAAAAAAGTAATATACAAAAACAACTTTAAATACACACTCATGTTTCAAGTATATCTTTATTGTAGCAAAACATCATAAAATAGCTATACATAAATATCAAAATAATTGTTTTTAATTTAGACAAATGTCACTAATGACACTGGAAATGTCTTTAGTGATGGTTCAGGCCATAAAGTGCATTAAAAAAGGCCTCTGGGAGTTCATCATGGCCTTAGGAAGAAAAATATTCAAGATCTCAGTAGATGTTTTTTGAGTTTTACCTGCTTTTTCATTTGGCAGTGCAACATCTAAGCTATTAAAAATGACAGGAGAATGTAGGACTATGTCATGTGATAAATTTCTACAAGCAGTAATATTTGGTTCTCCTGGTTCCTTCTATAACAGACACTGCAGTATAAACAGCGAGAAGTCAGTGGCTCTCTGTTAATGTCTTCCATTCTGACTTTCCTCCATGTCACTGAAGTGCGAAGATTCCCCATCACTGCTGGTGGAAGAAGTCGTTGATTTACTGGACCCCAAGTCAGATGTAGGTCCAAGTATTATAAGGTGGCCGACGGAGGTGTCCCGCTGTTCTCCGGTCAGCGGGTTCGTTGGCTGGAGAGAGTGGATCAGACTCCTCATTGCGGTTTTGTCCGCTGAGCTTGGACGGGGACTCCTGCACTCCGGGTGAACCACGCCGGCCAGGAGCTCCGACAGCTCAGTGATGTAAATCTGCGCCATTTGGAGGGTGTCATACTTGGACAGCTTTCTCTCGTTCTCCAGAGAGGGGATGACGCTCCTCAGCTCGTCAAACGCTTTGTTCAGGCCGTGCATCCTCCTCCTCTCCCTGGCGTTGGCTGCGACGCGCCTGTGTTTCTGGGGGCCAAAGTGGTTCGGCTTGCCTCCCTCTGCCGCATTTTCACAGTCAGTCTCTGTGATGCCTGTAGCGGACACGCAGTCGGATAGTTTACCCATTGGCACAAGTTTCTCCAGAGAGAGGCCCGCGTCTGCAGCTCCGTGCGCGTCCCTCCTGGAGAACGCATGGAGAGAATTTGAAGAAATCCAAGTCTTGGAGTTGATGTGGGCCAGACTGCGCTGCTGCAACAGGGTGAAATCCTCTGGGTACTCCGGCCAGCTTGAAAGCTCTGCTTTTGCAGTCATCACTGTAATGGCCTGTGGTCGTGCACGGCAGGGAAAGGTCACACAGAAGACTCTGGCTGATGCCCTCGTCTCTGGAGTGGTTTGTACTGCGCCAGCATTTTATACAGCCTCCCCTCAGTCACCTTGGTGTCACTCCCAGCGCTCCAGCAGCCCTGACAGCCCCGCAGCCTCAGAAGGCAGCAGCCAATCGTACAGTCCCCTCTGACCCCGTCAAAGAACAATTAGACAAAGCTCGACTTTTTTCTCCTATTGTGCATTGTAACTCAATCACGACCTTGTTATTATCCTCACACAGAGGGGAGCCGAAAGTATTAATCATTTAAGAGCGTGGCTTATATGTTTGAAAAGCTCAGTACAATTTGATCTAATGCACTTGTTAAAGTCTGGGCTGCCTGTCTGTTGGTTTTATCATTAGGCTAAAGTTTTCCAGATATAAAGTAACAAGTGCGCATGCCAAAACTGTTTCAAATATATATAGATTAGTAAATTAAATCACTTGTGCTTGCAGCTTAAAGAGTTTTCTGACGTTTTCCTCCCTAAATTCATCTTTTTACACATATAACATGTAATGATTTAATTTAAAGGTTCATCTTTATTATTTTGAGTTAATCAGAAAACTGTGCACATTTGGTTTGTTGTGCAGTTAAGAACAAACATTCAAGACTCCTTTACCACCATCATCATCATCATCATCACCATTACCATCACCATCACCCATCCACTGCTCCCAGTCCAAGGAAACTGAATTTGGATCTTTCTCATGAGCAAAGTAACTGACTGCTTTAACTGGGTCTGACCCTTTAGGGATCTGGCAGCACTGAGGTTTGTTCTCAAACAAACAGTAAAAAGGTGGACAATCTTTCGCGGATTATTTGCGGAAGAATAATAAAACGAACAGGTGGAAGGCAAGGCTTGGGACACACCTGTCTCAGGCAGAGCCATGATAACTGTTGTCTGAAGGCGACTTATGAATCATTAAGCAGGAAACACACATCAAAACATGTTTAAGTCCTAAAAAAGTTATCATTCCACTTATTATTGTTGTCATTATTAATATTATTAATATTATTAGGCCTATTAGTAGTAGTAGCCTAGTAGTAGTAGTAGTAGTAGTAGGTCTAGTAGTAGTATTTTAAATAGTATTTCCTAAGTAAGACCAAATCAAGTCAGATAAATTCATTTTGATTAGTCACGTGGCCCCTGTGCCTATCAGCTGTTGTCCCCTGGCACCTCACGCAAGCTACACACCTCTGTCACAACCGGTGTCACCCACGTCTCCCATATGCCGTGCGCAGCGACAACTCCGCTTTCACACTGACACTCACTGCTCTGACACAAGAGCTAATCACTCATTAGGTCATCAATTACAGGAGAGGAACCACTTCAGCACCAGCGCAGACCTGTCCGGTGGGAGCTCTGAGATGTTGTGATGATGGTGACTTGGATAAATTTGGCATTCAATGCCCATCTCTCTCTCTGTCTGTGTGTGTGTGTGTGTGTGTGTGACGGTCGGGGTCGAGCACTGGTAAAGAAAATCACCGTGACCTGCCTCGCCGCCAGCAGTTTAATGAGGCCTGGTCTTAGTTGAATAAATCGGCACGCTCTCCGTCCCGGGGCGTCCATTCATTTTTTTGGGCTACATGAATATTTCATTCCTTCAACCCCACTGCCAGCGCAACAGCCTGTAACCCTGCGTGCAGGCTTTAAAAATGCGGCCACACTTCCCATCTGGTGCTGGGCGTGAGCGGGGGAGTGGCGGCGGAGGCCGAGGAGGTGTGAGGAACATTTCTAAGGTCAACTTTAGTGACCTGCTTCAAGAGAGAGACTGATGCGTCCCACCAGGCAGAAAGACAGGGGGGGACAACATGGCTGTCAACTGGCAAGTTATTGCAACTTTAAGTATTGGTCCAAGCCTCTTTGGGGGCCCATATATGCAAAATCTCCCTTACAAAGTTGTAAGTGCCAAAGTTATTCCTGGGCAGTGGTAGAAGAAGTATTTACTTCAGTAGTATAACACAATGCAAACTATTTTCCATTACAATTACAAGTCTGCATTGTAAAAGTCCAGTGTGTTACATTTCTGAGCATCTTTTAGCAGAAATTGACTGTAATATTCATAGGTATTTTTCCATTAGTGTATAATCACCTGAAAATAAGAATCATTCTGTTTTCATTACCTTAAAATGTCCACAGATGCCACCGGTCGCCTTCTTTATATAGTATATATATATATAGTTTCTCCTTGGAACACACTTGGAAAGGGTGGATGCCACTAAATCTTTAAATCTTCCAAAAGTAAAACATATTATTAAAGTATGAAAAGTAAAAGCAAAAATTGCACCTGTGTTATTGGGTGTTATACTGTCTTACATTTTTGGATTGTTAATACTGATGCTTTAATGTTTAGGCAGCAATGTTGTGGTTGGTGAAGGTGGAGTTCATTCTAGCTTATAAATATTGTTGAGTCCTTTCATTTTTAACAATGCATCATATTTTACAAGCTCCTCAGTAGTTTTGCACGTTAAGTCTGAGTATGCAAAGTAACTTGTAACCACTGTCAAATAAATCTAGTGTAGTAAAAAGCATACTACTTCCCTCAGAAATGGAGTATAGTGGGAGTAATATAAAGTGGCATAAAATAGAGATACTCAAGTAGAGTACCATAAAAGTACTTGAGTAAATATACATTACTTCCCATCACTGCGGGCAAATGAGCAAACAACTGCAAAGTAAACAACACATCATCCGAGGAATTTATTCTGGTATAACTATTTTGTTGTTTTGACCAAGACACATATTTAACAGTTGTGAAAATATTATATATAAAACAATAATCAAGTAGAAAATAACCATTTCAGTAGGTTTTACACATGCAAACAGTATGTCAGCTTTTTTATTAACCTGCCATCAAATGTAGTTTCTCTAACTGAGATCTAAAGGCAGTGATACCACCGCCCACTATGTCCAAAATGGAAGTCAACAGGTAGACTGTAAACACTGCTGACTGCAGCAGAATGTAAACCAATTTGTTCCCAGCGAGGACCTGTGTATTCTTTGCCTTTAAGTGCTCCTTGTAAACACACATTTACAACTGATAAAAATGACTTGTAAGTAAGGTGCAGTAGCTTTTTACAGTTGTCACACATACAAATATTTATGTTTCAGTAATGGAGACTGTCAGGTCGGCTGTAGTGTCAAATATAACATCACTCAACTAACTATCTTGATGGCAGTTATGTACCTCACAACTCACTTTATAGCCTATAATGGGTTCACCATTTGTTACCGACTTGGCAACCAGGGTACCACAGACAACTGCAGCTGCCAGATGACGTTGGTGATGGAACCTGGCAACAGTCCCAGAAGTTTATCCTAACCCTTAACTATTCAAACCCTAAACCCAACCCAGCCAACCACAGCAGCGCCCGCTTGTGTCAACACATGCTCTGTGACTTCCATTTAACAACTTTACAAATTGTAACACCACACATTATAACATGTATTTTTTTTGCAGGGGTGGTTCTCCTTTTCATGAGCTAATAATGTAGAGTGTGAGAGTAGTTCCAGTAATAATACATTATCTCATTGTTCTAATTTCCAGTAAATGAAGCAGGCCTAATAGTGAAATTAAAGCAGTCCTCATTTCACTGGGGATGCGTTAAAACCTCTTCAATTATCCCTGGGGAGCCACTGTTGGGGAACCATGGCCCCAAGCAGGCTATAATTAATTCGACTCTATTTTTGAGACTTTGGTATAAGCGTCTCTGTTTCATTGTCCACCTGTTCAAGGCATTACAACACCTTAGCCTGTATGAACTATACATACAAACCACACAGGCGTCAGAAATTAACACTTCATTTTACTGTTTTTTTCTAATTACGTTCTACTAAGTTCCCTGGGGAAAAGAATGGTAATTTAGTTTCTAATTATAGGGGAAATAGGACATTTCTCAAAAGAACTGCTCAATTTAAACCCAAGTAACTATTCATTTTTTATTCATTTATTCTTGTTGAGTTGGCTTTAAAAAAAAAAAAGTTCACCTGACCTGCTGACTCTGTTGATTACTCTCCAGGAGTTAATTGGAATTAATTAATTGGAAGTGAACCAATTGAACGCTGTCTTAATTTCCCCCATAATCAGTATTACATTGCTATTTTCAGGAACAATGCTGGGCAATTATTTGGAAATGATCGACCCATAAAGCGCTACCAAAATGACGCATCTATACCACCTTTACTATACTTTTACATTGCTGTTGTCCTGTATAGGATACATACTGTACAATAACACACAAACAGCTCTACATGAACTCTATAATGACACACCGAGTGGGATTTCCTTCCTCATTGGTTCTTACTGGTCCATACAGTGAGCCACCCTTTTACCCCCTCCCTCTCTCTCTCCCTCTCTCTCTCTCTCTCTCTCTCTCTTGTGTTTTAATTAAAGACTCCTTAATTTCGTAACAATAGAGCATTTCCATTTTTTTTCAACAGAATCATTCACCAAGAACAGCGAACCTCTTGATGTTGGGAGCAGTCTCCTCTGTAATTACCCGCACACACCCGAAGCTACGGAGGTGGTTCTACCGAGCACAGAGAGAACTCTTAATGTCGGGGTTTCAGACGCAAATTAGGACAATTAGCGGCCTCATTAATTTAGGAAAAGGGAAGTAATATTCTAGTTAAAGTAACGGTTCATTAAGCCAATGTTATCTGCGGTAAAAGGCTAATTGATGAACTCTGAGGAAAGGATAATAATAAGAGGTGATGACTTCTTGGTTCTCGGAGAGGACCGTGCTGAGTTTGCAGACCTTAAATGACTTTAGTGTAGTTTAATTTACACTGCGCAGTAAACGCACCGTCTACTCATCGCGAGAACAGCTGCTCAGCGCCGCTGAATTGTGGAAGGAAACGTCGCGATGCTTTAAATCACGTCTCTGCAGGGTGCCGTTTGTACACGTGGTGCAGGGGATAGACGGGGACCGGAGGGTCAACAGTTTACTCAGCATGACCGAGACAACAAAGCAAGTCTTCAAAGTCAGACCTGCACCAGTGATCAGAGGGTGTCACCTGATACCTTTAATAAGACACGTGTCTTACAAAAACAGATAATTTAAGTGATGTTAAGTAAGCATAGTAACCTAAAATGTATTT